CAATATAATATCACTTTGTTTCATCATGTAGCCTGGATAGCTCAGTTGATAAGGTGCAGGATTCACAACCAAAGGATAGCGAGTTAAAATCCACCTAGGAACAAATTTGTTTTTGTTTTTTCTCTGCAACAAATTAATTCTGCAGTGAATGTTTGTCAGATTACGGCATGTGCTGCACTATTTTTGTTTCGGTGTTTGATCCACATCCATCAAGGGACGCTTTTTCATTTCCCCAGTATCTCCAGGCAGAGGACATTTAGGGGAATCACGTTTTCTGATGGCTCTTTCAGAGGTGTGTCAAGCAGCTACAGACTCTTTTAATGTCTGTAGTAAAGTAAAAGCTCAGTTCAACTTCAAATAGAAGATTGCAATAAACAAGCTTTCTTACGCTTTTATTTTGTAGGCAAAACCACTAAAGAGAAAGTGATTATGTGAGTAACTGTTGGTGCCATCACTGAGATCTATTTTTAAGCAAAGCTATCAAAGTATTTATTTATTTATTTATATATTTTGCCGCTATCAAAGCACCATAATCTGGCAGCAGGCCAGATATTATTGTTGGCGGGCAGTTTTGGCGAGGGTCCATAAACACAGAGACAATGAATGTGTTTCCCTTGTCAATGTTTGTATAAACTTTATTTAATATGTGGTATATAATGGACTGTGGTGCAGAAACAGTGACAGTGTTTCACACTCTTTGTTTACATTTTCCATGACACATCTGTCAGTGATAAAGTAGCAATATGGTTTTACTGAATTAAGTAAATATAATTTCATAATAAATATACCTAAAGGTTCCTCATTTCTTGACTGGCCACTCTCTTCTGTCTCAGAAGAGACATCTTTTTGTGCTGTGTCAGCCACCGTAGCTGTCTTATGCTCTTTGAAAGGTTAGGGGGGCAGTGGTAAGCTGGACAGATGGTTGCAATGCACAACCCTTACCACTAGATGCCACTAAATCTTACACACTGAACCTTTAAGCTACATAACTAACTAAGCTGAACAGTACATAACGTTATAGCGTTCAACAATTTAAGTTAGCTGTTTGCACAAGTGGCTAATTGCCAAGCTAACGTTAGCTGTGCTTACATAAAACAGACGATGAGAGACTGTGTTCAGAGCAGATTAATATAAGGCTTTTATCTCAAGAGTTTATTCCAAAACAGGACACATAAACCCGTCCAACATCCCAGCAGGTCGGAGGATGAAGTCCATCCTGTGGTCTGCAGACAGCCTTATGTATCCCTTCTGGGCTGGTTTGCCCCCCTCCTTTCCTTATGATGAATTGCTTATCCTCTGCTTTTATGCTGCTTACACGTGTTGTTTTACCAATTAACAATTTTTGTTTTCCAGCTATCATTCATCATTCTGTGTTGTTGACTTTCTATATTTTTATACTACTGGATAAGAAATTCATCATTTACATTTCAACTCCAATCTCACCGTTTTTTTCAAAAGTTATGCATATATAATCTGACACACAATTATATTTGTTAAAGAATTACTACAAGAATAACACATGTAGTGCTGTGCCTTTCATTACTGCGTGGTTTCTTACAGTAATCTTGCTGTTTTCTACTTTGTGCTTATCATCATCTATTCATCTTCTCTCTGCCTCGAAAGCTCACCCTCTCTGTCGTGCAAAGCTTAGCAAAAATTCCTTCAGCAAGTTCACTCAGAGCTCACACAGGCTCTCAGCATCAGAGGTTGGAAGTTGACAATCAACCCCTTAATCAGAAATTAAGTATGTAGTCTTAATATCAGCAGACTAACACATCAATAGTTCCTCATGTAGTCATAACAACAGTAGGTAACAGCAGACCAAAGCATGCACTTGTCACAGCAGATGTTGAACACCTGCAGCCTCTCCTGCATTCATAAATCTACAGTAGATAACTGTTGAACAAGGCGTGCATAGTCTCAGTGTCTGCAGCCAATGCTCCCACTCAGGGATCTTAACCACAGTGAGCTTGTTACTGCATTCATCAATACATTACAGCACTTCTAAGTAGAAAATGGGGTTAGGGTTAGAAAAACACAAAAGAGGAGGGAAGACGGAATCATGTCTATATGTGTGCTGACTCAGCAGGGTTACTTCATGAGAAAAGTTGATCTACAGGAGAAACATATCTGAAAAGAAAATGTAGAAGCAGAATTAGTGAAAATTGTGTTACGTCAATATAGTCCATCACAGTAAGAATGTCCTGTCTCCAGCACACAGCACAAAAGACACCAGCTTATTCCACAAAGTCATGTTATGGTTAAAATAGCGTGATCAGCATGCCTAGGACACAGAGAGGGGAGCAGTGCGGTCAAGAAACAAACATCAGTGATTATCCTTAATCATTTTATTATGCTTAATAATCTTTCTTAATCATTTTCTTTTTTCCTAGATGTGCCTTGTCTTGACTTATAAGTGGTGAACTGTAGTCATGAAAACAGAAACAAGCTCACTGTGGTTAGATCCTTAAGTGGGAGTATGACTGCAGGAGAGGCTGCAGGTGTTCAACATCTGCTGATGCATGCAGTGCATGCTTCGTTCTGCTGTTATCTACTGTTGTTATGACTAAATGAGAGACGGTTGATGTATTAGTCTGCTAATAGTAAGACAATATGTTTGATTACTGATTAAGCGTTTGATTGTCAACCTCCAACCTCTGATTCTTACAGCCTGTGTGAGCTTTGACTGAACTTGCTGAAGGAAAAGACAACAGAGGCTTTGCAAAAACAGAAAAGCAGAAAACGGCCAGCACAACATCAACATTACTTTAAGAATCCAAGCATTAATGAAAGATACAGCATTACATATGTTATTCTTGTATTAATTTTTTAAGAAATACAATTGTGTGTCAAATTATGCATGCATAACTTTTAAAAAATACAGTGAGACTGAAGTTTAAATGTAACTTCTTATCCAGTAATGTAAAAATATAGAAAATCAACAATACAGTAATGAATGACAGCTGGAGAACAGTGTTAATTGGTAAAACAACACATGTAAGCAGCATGACAGCAGAGGAAAAGAAGTTCACCAAAAGGAGAGGTGTGGGTAAACGAGCCCAGAGGGGGATATATAAGGCTGTCTGCAGACCACAGGATTACACCACCCTCCGACCTGCAGGGATGTTGTACGGGTTTATCTGTCCTGTATTGGAATAAACTCTTTTGCACCGATCTCTGATCATCTCTGTGAAACCTTTGTATTCTGATTGTTGTCTATTTTTGTTGATTAGTAAAAATGTTTGTCAAAGTTCAAGCTTTCATATCTGTCCCAAGTCTTGAATTTGACACTCATCTTCAAACCTTTCAGCACATTCAAAATCTCTCCCACATATCTGTGTTCTCTGACATGTCCAGAGAAAGTTGCAATATTATGAGACTAATGTCATTAGTCATTTAATGAGAATCCATAATGTATTTAAAAAAGTCTTCCTGCCCTGTACTCTGCTGTTTATTACATCATAGCTCTGCTGATGTGTTAGTATCCCCTTCAGACCATATGACAGACACAGAACTGGATGAGACAAGGAGGTGGAAACCGAAACAAAGTGAATTCACTTGTGATCAGACAGAAATCTCACCACAAATCCACACTAGGGTTGGGCGATGTCTACAAAATTTCCATCAGATGATGTCTGCAATGACACATTGGGATGGATGATGTCATCGGGTGCGCGGGCAGTCGTGAGCAGTTGTCTTATGTGCACATGTTCTCGCACAAACTTCACTCAAAAAAAAATTGGTAGACTATTAACTTACGTTACAAGTCACGGTCGCGGTGGATATTTTACGCACGGACCAGGTAAAGCAGCATTTCAGTTGTTTGATAGGCTGCGTCATTAATAAGCCGACGTGTGGCTCACCTGCTGCTCTGATAATATGGGAAGAGTACATATTATAGCGGATTGCGGGTGGAAATATACGGGAAAAAGATGATTTCTCAGTCTTTTAGACAACTTTATAAAACATATTGCTGATGGAGAAAATGGAGCAGATGGTGGGAGAGAGACAGAGAGGCGGGGCAAGTCGGGCTGTTTACCTTAGATGTAGGTGTGTGAGTGTGTCAGATTGTGGGGAGAAGAGAATTCCGAGGCAGGAGCAATGCAAACTTTAACAATAATAAGAATGTTTGTGGTCATTAAAAGCTGCTTTCACAGAGTGGTATAATGTGAAAATTTGAGATTTTTTTCTGCTGGAGGGGCAGGGGGTTTACAATCACGATGCCGGCTCAACGTCGTGATGTCTGTCAGTCATCGCCGATAGACGATGCCATCGTCCCAACCCTACAACTCCACACATTACCTTCAGTACCTCTGATAAAGTGCAGCTCACAATCCCAAACAGAGCAAGTTTGCGCCTCACTTTTTAGATGTTTATATTGCAAAACTCTATCAGCTATGTTACCACTTCCAGTGTTTCCCACAGAATGACAGTGTAACTGTGGCGGGGGGGGTGCGTGCATCGATATTGACTACCAGCTATGTACAGCGTGCTAGCCTCGAAAATCCAGCTACAGTCTAACGTTAACTTAGCTCTCCTTATTAGCTAGGGTCCTTGCATGCTTGCTGATGCCTTTTTTTTTAAGCTGGGTCTCCGACATTGACTGCGCTGTGTTGGACAGATTTGTGCAGTGGTGTTCCATGAGGGAGAGAGAGGGGTACGGGTGAGAGAGAGAGAGGGACGAGCAAGAGGAAGTGCTGCGCCAATGCGCTACGGCGCTCTGCAATCAAATACGATTTTAAATGGGCTTAGTAAAAAAATCACATTGAAAATCAATATGTGGCAATCAGCGTTGTTGTTGTGGCGGGCCGCCACAAATAAATGAACGTATGGGGGAAAAACTGCCTTTGACTCAAAGCAGAAGAGGGGGGGGTTGCTTCATTACTATCATGGCGTACATCTGTGTCACATCAGCTGGGTGGGTCACACCCCAAATTTACAGCTGTTTACAGAAACTGATGTAGTTACAATGTGTGTATGCATTTCATTATTCTCCACAGATGTCCAACTGGTGTTGGTGAGTCAAGAAGAGGTTCCCCCTGAGCAGCAGGACTGGAGCCCCAGTCTGGACCAGGAGGACCTACCAAAGCCCCCACATATTAAAGAGGAGTGGAGCCCCAGTCTGGACCAGGAGGACCCACCAGAACCCTCACACATTAAAGAGGAACAGGAGGAACTCTGGACCAGTCAGGAGGGAGAGCAGCTTCGAGGGCTGGAGGAGGCTGATCTCACCAAGTTCACATTCACTCCTGTCCCTGTGAAGAGTAAAGAAGATGAAGAGAAACCTCAGTCCTCACAGCTTCATCAAAGACTAACTGAACAGATGGAAACAGAAGCTGATGGAGAGGACTGTGGAGGACCAGAACCAGCCAGGAACTCTGATCCAGATAGACATTTACAACCAGATCCTGATGACAAGACGTCAGACTCCTCTGAACCTGAGACTGATGACAGTTGTGATTGGGAGGAGACCAGGGAACCTCAGTCAGGTGCAACCCCCCTGCAAAATAACAGTGGATGTAACAGTGGTGGGAAATCATTTAGCTGCTCAGAGTGTGGTAGACGCTTCAGCCAAAATGCAAGTTTGAAGAGACACATGAGAATCCACACAGGAGAGAAACCCTACAGTTGTTCTGTCTGTGTCATGGGATTCGCACGAAAGGGATATCTCCAAGAACACATGAAAGTCCATACAGGTGAGAAACCTTTCAGTTGTTCCATCTGTGGTAAAGGATTTGCACAAAAGACACAGCTTACTCGGCACACTATTGTCCATACAGGGAAGAGACCCTTCAGCTGTTCTGTTTGTGGTAAAAGTTTCGCACTAAGCTCAGGTTTGACCACACACTTAAGAGTTCATACAGGTGAAAAACCTTTCTCATGCTCAATTTGTAAAGCAAGATTCAGGAGCAGTAGCAATTTGTCCGCACATGCAAGAGTCCACACAAGGAAGAAGCAATTAAGCTGTTCAGTTTGTGGTAAAGTCTTTCCACGAAAGGTTAATCTGACAAACCACATGGCACTCCACACAGGGAAGAAACGATACAGCTGTAGAGTATGTGGCAGAGGATTCACTTGGCTTTATCAACTCCAACACCATCGGAGTGGAGGTCATCAGTGCACACAGCTTCATCAAAGACAAACTGAAGAGAACCGAGATGCAGAGCATTTCAAAATGGAAACTGAAGGAGAGGACTGTGGAGGACCAGAGATGGCCAGGAACTCTGATCCAGATTTCCTTTTACAACCACATACTGATGGCAAGACTGAAGACTCTTCTCAACCTGTGACTGGTGACAGGGAGCATCAGTCAGGTTCAAACCCTATGAAAAACAATGAGGCCCCTGTTAGACTTATTTTGGAAGGAAAACGTTTCAGCTGCTCCGTTTGTAAAAAAACGTTTAAACAGAGACGAGATTGTGTGAAACACTTGAGAATTCACACAGGGGAGAAGCCCTACAGTTGCTCTGCCTGTGGTAAAAGATTTACACAAAGCTCAAGTTTGAAAACACACTTGAGAATTCATACAGGAGAAAAACCTTTCACATGCTCAATTTGTCAAAAAACTTTCCCACGGAGAGATACTGTTGTGAGGCACATGAGAGTCCACAAAAGGGAGAAATGCTTCAGTTGTTCAGTTTGTGGTAAAGCATTTCCTAAAAGCAGAAGTTTGACCCAACACTTGAAAGTTCATACAGGAGAAAAACCTTTCAGCTGTTCAGTTAGTAAAAAAGGTTCTCAAGGGAGAAGAGATGTTGTGAAGCACATGACAATCCACACACTGTCTGTGGTAAAAGATTTACAAAAAGCTCAGCTCTGACCACACACTCAAGAATTCATACAGGAGAAAAACCTTTCACATGTTGAGTTTGTAACATTTCAGTCAAAGAAGCAATTTGTCCACACACATGAGATTGCATACTGCTGGAGAAGTTAGTGTTTGTGAGAAAAACATGTGCTGGTCCACGTGTCCTGGTAAGAATCTCCCTCTTTCCTTGAGATCCATGTCACCTTTTCGCATATTTAGGTTATCTATATTTCAATATCTTAACAATGTGTGTGCATATTACTAATGCTGGACTCAACAGTATTACTTGTAATTGCAATTTTCTTCATGTAATCGTCTAATTGATTTCTTGTTTGATACTTTTTCTCATTGAATCACAAATGTATTATGGGTCCTGATTGTGTGAGTAAATTAGATGTACTTATTGTGCTAGCTATAACATGTCTGAACCATGATGTGTCTTCGCTCTGGGGTGAGGGTGTAAGCTGCCTACTAACTCAGTCAGGGTGTCCGCGGGGTCTTAAAAAGTCTTAAAAGGTAATAAATAAATATAGCAACAATCGCCATTTAACAAGGTATTACATTTTGCAGATATTTTTGTCAGTGTAAGTCCAAAGAGTTTGTTTGCTAAAAGTGTAGGTGAACGTATTTATATATAATGCATAGCCAAAAATACTAGACAGGCAGTGCATAGCCACTGTGTGATCGTTTCTGTAACGTTAGGCGCAGGGATCTACGGTGCCCCTATTTCAGTCTTGCCCCAAAAAATAGATCCATGCGAAGAGAAAAATGATTTACGAGTACAACCGACCGTAATCTCCCACCCTGCCGGACCCTCAATGCTAATCGTCCAAATGTGGCCACTTGAACAGCCCCGTTCCTCAAAAACAAGGGCGAGATGAGCCACCAGCAGCTGAATTGGTAAGATAGAAGACAACAAGGAAAATTCAAGGTGCATGTGGGTTTGGTTAACGTTAGCTGGCTATAAATCGGTGCCTTTTATTGAAATACGTTCAACTTGTCATAAAGCCAATGCTATTGTCAGTGTCACTTTTTGTGAACAGATCAATCACAGCCTGAATGAAGTTTGATGTGTTGCAACAAATAAATGTTGAACTCATTGTTCTGCGTAAACGGGTATGATTATTGATGAGTTAGCCTGCCTAAAATCAAGGTTGTAGCCTAGAACATTTTTCTTTCACAAAGTTTATGAATAAACTGCACCACCTACACTACTTTCGTTATTCTCTTCATCTTTATAATAATATAATAATCTTTATTTGTAGAGCACTTTTCAAAACTTTTCAAAAACAAATGCTTTAATAAATGTAAAGACAATAATACAAAAACAATACAAGATAAAAGCAAGAAAACATTGAAAAGACTAAAATACACGTTTAAGATAAATATAAAATTAGTAAAATAAAGTCAAATAAGATCGGGAAAAGCTCTCCTATAAAAGTATGTTTTAAGAAGGGACTTAAAAGAGTTCACTGACTCAGCCGACCTGATTTCCTCGGGCAGGCTGTTCCAGAGCCTCGGGGCCCTGACAGCAAACGCTCTGTCCCCTTTAGTTTTCAGTCGAGACTCTGGAACAGACAACAGACCTCTGCCCGAGGATCTCAAGGTACGTGCTGGTGCGTATGGGACTAAAAGGTCAGAAATATAACAAGGCGAGAGGCCATGAAGAGCTTTAAAAGTGATCAATAGAATTTTAAAGTCAATTCTAAAACATACTGGGAGCCAGTGTAATGAAGCTAAAATAGGAGTAATGTGGTCATATTTCTTTGTTCTGGTTAAAAGCCTGGCAGCTGAGTTCTGGAGTTGATCAGTAGATCTTTGATCCCATCTTTGATCCCTCCTGGCCTACTGGAATTTTGTTGTGAAAGTTATCACACATATTATTGCAGGCAAGCTCACATTATCTAGTTTAAACCAACTAAAACAGAAAATTAATTGCTGTTATGTTGCGTACATAAACGTCATAGCCTTTGTAAGACAGTGGCTTTTCGCAGGAAATCTGACCAGTGCTTCACATAGAAAACTCTTGGCCCATACAGCCTGTTGTAGGCAACTGGGAAAGTTGGTGAATGCCTCAATTATTAGGTGGCGTTACAACCTGATGACATACAGGCAATAAATGTTATAAATATATTTAAATTCCTTTTTAAAAACTACTAAAAATGTTCCTTTTGTGTGTGGCTGATTTAATTGGTTACAGCCCAAAGTGGTGCGGCAGTCTTAAAATATGTTGAAAAAGTCTTGGAAAAAGGTCTTAAAAGGTATTGATTTTCACTTCAGGATTCCTGTGCATATACCCTGTCAATAGTTTTGAGCGTTTTGTTTTGTTATTTAGTTTTCGTTGTTTTTTTTGTTTAGTTTTTTTGTTTTTCTGTTGTATGTGTGTGTGTCTTTGGACCCTCTTGAAAACAAGATGCTGCATCTCAAGCGGCTATGTTGGGTCAGATGTACGACCAGGCTGGCCAGTTAACCCTGGTCCCCACCTTCACTAACTTAATAAAACTTTGTCAAAAAATACAACAATAGTCAAAAAACTCGACCAAAATGAGTTTGAACATATCGGCATATTGAATATTGGCCAATATCCAATATTGTGCATCCCTACAATGGACATAATGTGCAGTTTACATCTTAATGATATTACACATAAAAGAATAGTCCATAAAATACACAATAAACAATTAACCTACAATAACACTATGAAGATAATTACAAATTTACTCCATGTGATGCCACAACATTCCTCCCTGGCTTTGTCGGCCGCCATGATGTTGGAGTTAACCGTTAACGTCTTTAAAATCCTCATTTCCTGACACTATCAACGTGCGTTCTTCTGGGGAAAATACAGAGCATGCGCCGTTGTGAAAAAAACTCCCCTTTTATGCAAACGCGCACCAACCCCCAATTAAGTTAACACCGTCTCAACTAACCAACATCTTATTCACCATCATAGTACTGTTTAACTCCAGTGTAGGCAGTCAGCTTTATAAACTTTGTCAAAAAATACTCTATTAACTTTCTACTATAGTCAATAAGTTTGCAGTCAAAAACTCCTCTGGAGACGGTCAAGAGTCGGTGCAAAAGAGTTTATTCCAAAACAGGACAGATAAACCCGTCCAACATCCCTGCAGGTCGGAGCATGAAGTCCATCCTGTGGTCTGCAGTCTTATATATAGTATCTCTTCTGCACTGGTTTGCCCTCCTCTCCTCATGATGAACTTCTTTTCTTCTGTTCCTCAGCTGTCAGTTATTACTGCATTGTTGACTTTCTGCATCTTTATACTACTGGATAAGAAGTTCATCATTTACATTTCAACTTCAGTCTCACCGTGTTTTTTTAAAGGTTATGCATGCTTAAAATCACACAAAATCGTATTTTTTAAACAGTTAATATAAGAATAACATAAGTAAAGTAGCATTTCCCATTAATGCTTGGTTTCTTACAGCATTCTTGATGTTATGCTTTCTGCTTTCTGCTTTTCATCTGTCTGTTGTGTTTTTACCAAGCATCTGACAGTTTTTTGGTCATCCTCTGTCGTGTTTTTGCAAAGCATGAATTCCTTCAGCAAGTTCACTCAAAGCTCACACTGGCTATAATAACCAGAGGTTGGAAGTTGACAATCAAACCCCCTTAATCAGTAATTAAGCATGTAGTCTTAATGTTAGCAGATTAACACCTCAGCAGTTCCTCGTGTTGTCACAACAACAGTAGATAACAGTAGATAACAGTAGATAACAGTAGACCAAAGCATGCACTGACACAGTGTCAGCAGATCTTTCACACCTGCAGCCTCTCCTATGGTCATAATCTACAGTAGATGACAGCTGGACAAGGCGAAACATCTGCAGCCACTTCCTGCAGTCATTCCTCCCACTCAAGGATCTAACCACAGTGAGCTTGTTTCTGTGTTCATGACTACAGTTCACTACTTATAAGAAAAACCAAAGCACATCTAGGTAAAAATGATTAAGAATGATTAATGATTAATACTAAAGGAAATGATGATACAAGAATGATTACATACTGATTAATGATAATAAAACTGATTAGAATGATTAATAATTATTATTAATATTGATTAAGGGTTTCCTGTGCTGTGTGCTATAGACGGGACATTCTTACTGTATTGATGTCTGCTTTGTAACACAATTTTCACTAATTCTGCTTCTACATTTTCCTCTGCTGGTGTTTTTGATGATGCCTTGCTGTCTCATCCTGCTTCCAGAGCACACGTGCCTGCTGACAAACACATGTGCTACTGTTACTGCCTCCGGGCAGCTAGACACAGAGAGGACCACACACTCTCAGAGCTATGGAGTTTCAGCGTTGTGATCCTAACTTTACACTATAAAATAGCACTCTAAATGATGACAATAGCTATAGAGTTTTGACACTGTGATCGTAACTTCTACCCTCTAAAATAATACTTTAAATGATGAACACTGTATGAATACAATTAATAACAACAATTCAGGCTGTAATGTTCTAAAATAATTTGTGACCCATCAGCTATAACAGTGAAATAGCCTACATTTTAAAGTTACTGTAGGCTACAACAAACAAACAACATATTGAACACATTTATATAATTATTAGGCCGATTGTAGAAAAAGAACATTTATTAGGCCTATGCTATGATAAAAGTTAAAAGCAAATTTTGCATAATGTGTGTGTTACTTTCTGCTACTGTCTGCTCTCCCTGGACCTCCGTTCGGCTAAAATATTCCCGTATTCCGCTCTGGACCTGCTCAGATCAGACTCTCTCACACTCTGTACTCTCAGCCTCTGTGCGGTCCAATCAGGTGATTCACTGGCACTGCCTCATCTCAAAATCTTTATGTGTTCCCTATGCCACACAATCACCTCCTGCCATAGTTACACAAGCACACCCAACCTATGGCATATTTTCCCATATCTTTCCTCAATAACACAATAGGCCTACATGATGCTACATGATGTTCAGTCTTAATGTGTTTTATACAAAAGTAAATTAGTTTCTCCAACACTGCTCATCGAGGTGTGTGCATACGTGCGTGTATGTAATTAAAATCCTGTCCACCAACTAGCCTGCCTAATTTGACTGCAGCCTTGCACTTTGAGTAATGAACTCATTTTCTAAACAATTGGATCAAATTGTTCATCACTACTGGACAGTATTTGCCGTAGGTTTATCAAAGCGAGGCTATCGAACCTGGTTTTTAATGGTAATTAAAATGTGTATGGTAATTATAACAGTCAGGAATATCACCATAGTTTATCATTAAACCGTAACCGTTTCATCCCTAATGTACGTGCATTATAATAACATGTGTGACATTTAATTTACACAATCTGTTACTTGTTTAAGTGGATCATATCTGTTTTATTCATAAAGGTGTGTGGTACCTTCCAGCAACTGATAAGACTAAGTATTTTAAAAATAGGGGACATAAACGGGTAATAACCATTTTTAGTTCTGCTCCCCGCTCCAGAGCAACTTCTCCTCTGGTCAACTTCACCTCAGGTGTAACAAAAATACTTTACCTGTGATAATGGGGTTGATGCTTTACCTTAACAAGAACAATTAAGAAACTTCAAAAGCAGGATCTCCCATGAACATAGATATGATATTCAAGTTTCTTCAGATGATTACTAATTCCCAACAATCTACTTTGACTTTGCAAACTTCTAGGTTACTGAACAGTGCTTAAAGGTGGTGTCACTGGTATTGTGGCACGGTGTGTTTTGAAATGACAGGTAAAATTACCCCTCCTCTTTTTTTAATTAAGTGAAAGCTGACTGAAACTACTGTGTCACTTACATGAATCATTCTGTAGTGTTACTGAGATGTGTGGTCATTTTATTCCTGCCAAGCACAGCATGGTCGCTAGAGAGTTATTATATTACGGTATCAATAGCTAACACAAGTAAAGTAGAATGAGTCGTCGGTATGTGGTGTGTCCAAGAATGCACACCACAGAGAACGCTTCTGACTAAAACTGTATTTTCATATTTTCAACAGAAATTAAATGGGTTGCACCAGAGTGGGCTTTGTTTCATTCTTGCACACATAACGGTAAATATTAAAGTTTCTCCACTGAGGTTTCCTGTGTTTACTAAGTTAACACCACCCAAACAATCATCCACTGCACCATCTGGTATCAAATGGTGGCCAGCAGCTCACGTTTGACTATCTTTAAAGGACTGGAAGTGGCAGAAGTTTACAATGGACATGAGGAATCTCTTCAATCACACAGAATCACTTTGTATAAAGTTCATTGATGAATTTATTTCAATAACTTGAACACTGAGGAACCAGAACTGAACCCAAAACCAGGATAAAAAGGTTCAGTGAAGGTGGTGTTAAAGGTGTGGAGGTGGATCAGTGTGTCAGAGGAGACTGTAGAAGGACAGAGAGCCAGCAGGACAGTCCACATACACTGCTACTCTGTTAGAGACAGAGAAGAAGGATAAGGAGATGGGGGAGATGTACGTTTCTCTGTTATAGTGTTAAATGGTTTAACAACCACTACCAGTGCAGTCGAGTCTCCATGACTGATTAATCCATCCAAACACACAGTCTTCTCTGTCTCCTCTCCTGCTGATTCCTCTGTAACTCAATGATATATAAACTCTTCCTCTCAACTCGACTTCCCAACAACAGTGACCAGTCACATTATTTCTATACAGCATCTGTTTCCAGCAGTCAAACCTGTCTGGATGATCAGGATATGACTGATCCTCCTTCACACGCGTTGCCTTCCTGTTGTTGTCAGACAGTTTGATCTCTCTGTTTACTGTGTTTGTGTCGAGTGTGAGTTCACAGGAATCTGATGAGAGAACGAGACACAATCCAGCTGCAGTTATTGATCTATCATCTGTTCACTGATTGGCACTTTGAATGAGTGATGTCACAGTCTGAAGATGGTTGAATGTGTGCTGCTTTGTTTTCATGAATCAAATGAAAAACACACTTAAACTTCTTCAGAACTGGGCCCTCTAACACAAAACGAGTTCAACATACCCAGGATATCTTTTCATTATCTGGCTTCACTAACCCTAACAATCAGGATCGGGCTAAGGGTCCCACAAAGCTGGTTATGAACTCGGTAAGTCTGTCCAAGGTTTCCTAATCCACACATGAACACATTCACATAAAAGAAGCGGTTAGCAGCAGATGAAGCCCGGTAAGAAGTGAACCATCATCATGGTACTGAAAACCCAGGATTAACCCTGAAGTTATCTGGATAAGCTCCAATCCGGCTTCGTGGTACAGGCCCCTCAAATGAGTTGTTTGTCGCCTTCAGCTGAAATATATAGTGCAAGATCATGTTAAGCTAAAGGAGTCGAATTTAGTATGGATGGTAGGGACATGTCCTGACCATTATCGAACGACTACTGAATTGTTCCTCACAAAAATTTGGATCCAGAAATTAAAATATAACCACTTATGTCTGTCAGCATCTAGTCAATGTATTTGGTAAACAAATGTTAAAGCTCTAATTCTCTACTACAACACTAATGTGTTTTTAAGTTTTGAAAGATTATGTCCTCCCATCTCATCCACCTCATAGGGCCTACTTTTTTCCAACGCACAGAGATTATATTTCTAAAAATTGACTAGTGGCAGATCTAGTGAGTTATTCAGACCATCAGGGGGAAGTGAGAATTATACAAAAGTATGTTATAGGGTGCTTCTCAAGTCTCTTATTTGTCCTTTTCTCGCTCCTCGATCGTCACTTGAGTCGGAAGTTGTTGTCCCAAAGCTCTTATTTGCGCTCTGAAGAGCGAGGATCGAGGACCGAGGATCAATCTCTGATGAGCTATGAGCGAGGCTACACCAGTGAATCCTTCACGGAAGTCTTTTACTGACCGATACGCCCCCTTATTGGGTATCCATTATATTGATTACACGCTGCAGCTGTTTCGGACTGATCTGATACATCACGACAGATAACATTAAACTCAAGTGTATCATTGCAAAGTCTTATATTTGATTTGTTTTATGATTCATGTAAAATCTGAGTTCATTGTAGGTCTGATCAACAGAAGCCCCACATACAACATTCTTCATTTATTAGAAAGATTTTTCTTTCTCCCATCAACTTGTATTATGGAGACAATTAAAGTCAGAGAGAGTCGGAGAGTCTGTCATCAAAAAACACGTTTTACATCATTTATCGTCATTTCTATTCAGTCACATGTGAGGCTGGTCATTCCTGTGTTTAGTCCAAATAGAAGACAATAAAAAATAGTAAACACTTAGCCTAAGGAGTTGGACAAGTCACTAAACTGCACTAAAGTCTAATGAAGCAAGCAAAGGAAAGTAAAGCCGCTCATATATATATATATATATATATATAAAAGAATGAAATGCCATTTCTCACTTAGATTTTAAAGTGATTAGTGCAACCCCCATCTGAAGAATCTACGTCTTACATTACATTTACATTTATTCATTTAGCTTTAGACACTTTTATCCAAAGCGACTTACAATTGCTATATATGTCAGAGGTCGCACGCCACTGGAGCAACAAGGGGTCAAGTGTCTTGCTCAGGGACACAATGGTGGATGGGTCACAGTGGGAATTGAACCTCAGTCTCTCACACCAAAGGCAAGTATCTTATCTATAATAAAGATTAAATATATTGCAAGGGAGGCAAAAGTAGTCCTCAATAAGTCCCGCTGGACTTTAGGGGGGTCCATATCATTTCATCATTTCACCCAAAAACCTTTAATATCCACAACAAAACTTCTTTATAAAGTCTGATGTTAGACACTCCGGTCCAGCAGGTGGCAGCATACACTTTAACGGTAATTTGAAGTCTGTCCACAAAACCAATCAAGAAGAAGAGCAAGTGAACTTCCTGTGGCAAACATTGAAGCTCGGCCTCACAGTCGGAGCAGCTTCCATAGAGACCAAACTGTATTTTTCACGGAGCCCAAATGTCCAAATGTCCAGATAGAGCTGTCTGAATAGACTCTGTGCTGTTCCCTTTATCTGAACATGTTTAACATCTGAATTATCTCCCGGTGTCCTACGAAGCTAATGCAGTTAGCTTAGCTTGCTAGCTGGAAATAGACGGACCCGAACGTGAGTTATCAACACAGCGCGTGAGCTGTAACGGAGTGTGTCTGGAGGAAAAGCTGCTGTAAACATGTCTAAAGTCCAAACGCTGAGAGCTTTTGTCCAGCAGCGACTAAGTGCGGCTGCTGAAGAGATATTTGAGCTGTTTGAAAGAACGATAGCAGAGTACGAGGAGGAACTTTGTGGACAACGCAAACTACTGGACGCTGTTTTCAAGCCTGAAGTCCGGTTACACAGAGCAGGTTTGTGCACTTTACTGCTTATTCTCACTGTAAACTGCCTTTACTGCAGTAAAAGTACTAATACCACTCTGTGAAAATACTCCACTGCGAGTAAAAATCCTGCATTCAAACCTTCCTTCAGTAAAAGGTATGTGAGTATTATCAGCAACATGTACTTACAGTATGACAGTAAACAGTAAACGTTGTCAGGTGCAGAAATGTATCGTCTCCGCTGAAAAGATGTTAATTTTGGGGGATAAAAAGTGAAATATTTTCACTGACTATTTGCGTACAAACGACAGGAAGTGTAATGAAAAACTGTAATCTGCAAAATAACTAGTAACTAAAGTTGTAAGACAAATATAATGAAGTATAAGGAGCAGAAAATGAAAATACTCAAGTTAAGAACACGTACCTCATATTTGTACTGAAGTACTATGTAGGGTTACAACTAACAACTATTTTGACAGTCGAATAATCTATTGATTATTTAAGGGATAATCAGTTATTCAGATTAGGAATCACAATTAATCAGCACCTGTTATTTAACTGTCAGCTTTTACATTTAGCTGGAAGTTGTTTACAACATGTGCTAATGAACATGAAAGATAATAAAATGAATAATTCATTCAAAAGTACATATTTTAATGAATTTTTCACTTGCAGGTTGGGAGGACAGTGACTTTCTCCATGGTGTCCTCCCATGAACTCCATTCTTGTTTAGTGTTTTACGTATCTTAGCGTCATTAACAGAGATGTTCCAGAGCATTCAAAGCATGTTCCAAAGATTTCTGTAATCTTTTAACGTACATTCTAGGATTCTTCTTAATCCCATTGAGCATTCTGCTCTGTGCTTGTGCAGTCATCTTTGCAGGATATCCACTCTTTGGGAGAGTTACAACAGTGCTGAACTTTCTCCATTTATAGACTGATGGACATCCAGACTTTTAGAGATACTTTTGTAACCCTTTCCATCTTTATTTGTGTGTTTTGTATAGGGTAGGGCAGCTCTAACCAACACCTTTATGGCAAGGCTAGCAGACCCAAGTGCAGGACTAAGAAAGGGAGGACTTAAAAGAGAAATATAAAGGGATTGGATATTGAGCAGGTGAAGAGCAAGGCAGAGTGAAAATAGATGCATGACGAAACGGGTTGGTGGGTCCTGTACAGAGCAGGGGGAACCGTAGCTGAGAGTCCAGAGTGAGAGAGTCTGATCCGAGCAGGTCCAGAGCAGAATCCGGGAATAGTTTAGCCAGGCGGGGGTCCAGGCGGAGCAGACAGATGAGCGGTATTTACGGTAGCGGAACAAAATCTAACACTATGCAAAATTAATTTTTATTATAGCGACTAAATGCTCTTCTACATTTGGCCTAATATAATTATTTAAATGTGTTCATTGTGTTGTGTTTTGTTTGTGGTAGCCTGCAGTTTAGGCCTACTTATTAATTGTTATGATCTGTAATGAAGTTAAGCAATTGTAAAATGAATAAACGCCATAACTTCCACACTACTGCTGTCATCACTCAGTTTGAAGTGCTCCCACACAGCTGAGGGCTTCTTTTCATTGTCCCTTTGATGTGAACTGGAGCGTTACGTTCACTGCTGTTGTCGGAGGTTAGGAATAAAAAGAAACATCAATAATCGAATCTCAAAATTGAAAATCGAATGTGTACCCAACGGTCGAATATTCGGATCCAGCCCTAGTGTCCACATCAACATAATGCCGCAATTGCAGTTACAAATGACAGAAAATCCTCTAAGTGCAAACGCTTGCTTGAAAACAGTATTTACCATGAAGACAGCGTCAAGTTTTGTTCAAAGCTGGAGGCAGGACCAAATTTGACAGAGGCATCTGCCTGTAATTCTCTAGGCAGAAAAAAAGTGGAATGGATGTTACTACATATAAGACACTTATGGACTTTGTATGATTTTATCAAGACATGAACATAAAACATATCACATCTAGAGAAAAATGATTAACCCTTCTCACACAGAAGCTCACGTGTACATTATTTCGTTCTTCGTGTACATTCTTAAACACTTTTCTATCTCCAGCTGAGAGATTTATCTGAACTCAGGAGTAGTGGGTTTAAATGCACATTTAACATGAGCATGGAGTCGCAGCTGCCTTGATTGCAGTCATTTTATGGTATTTCTGCTTTGACAAAATGCAAAGCAAATGATATGCTTGTAGTAGGGCTGTCATTGGTAAGTCATTTCCACTATTGTCATTTATTGTGCCTCAACAGCACAGTAAGCGGTATTATTGTCATTTTTGTTGTGTTTTTACCAATGACTTCATGTATGATAAATGTAGAAATGCATATTAAGTGTATCTGTGGATCTCAACTTACTGCCCAGCAAAACACTGACTACAGCTTTGTGGTCTCAGCAAGCTACCTGCTGGGTGCTAGTTAGTAACATAAAATTGCCAAACAACTTAATTCCGGCAGTTTGACTATGTTTTTTTTCACATGTAGCTATATCATTACCTTAAGCGCATGTCTATCAATTACATTTTCATCACACAGCACACATGTGAAGAGCAAAGTGAGCTTCCGTATAATGTTAACAACTAACAGCTGCACTGCAGTTAAGCTGAAGTTCAACAAAAAGCAACATGAAAAACCGTTATATGCATCCAACATTTCCACTCTTGTTATTGGGATGGCTTCCAATGAGGCTTAACGTTCCCACAATTTCACTCAACTGTCCCCAGATAGTAACGTTACAACATTGCTCAGCCTGCTAGCCACATTAGCCATGCAATATAGTAACTTAAAATTAGCAAACCTAAAAAAAAACATATAAATAAAACCACATAAAACATGGCTTGAACCGTTACGCCCCTCATGTGCGTGTCGAATTTTTGAAGCATTCATTTATTAATTCAACATGCATTATAGTATAAAACAAGGTATAAACATTGTGACTGCCCTAACTTGTAGTTTAAGTTCGAGTGACTCATTTGTCTACACATTTAAGAAAGTAGTGGTGTCAGTGGTTTAAATGTTAACAGGAAGTTACAGTTTTCTTAAAATGTGTGTATGTATTTCATTATTCTCCACAGACGTCCAACTGCTGTTGGTGAGTAAAGAAGAGGTTCCCCCTGAGCAACAGGAGTGGAGTTCCAGTCTGGACCAGGAGGACCCACCAGGGCCCTCACACATTACTGAGGAACGGAGCCCGAATCTGGACCCGGAGGACCTACCAGAGTCCCCACACATTAAAGAGGAGTGGAATCCCAGTCTGGACCAGGAGGACCCACCAGAGCCCCAACACATTAAAGAGGAACAGGAGGACCTTTGGAAGACTCAGGAGGGAGAGCAGCTTCGAGAGTTGGAGGAGGCTGATATCACCAAGTTCACATTCACTCCTGTCTCTGTGAAGAGTGAAGAAGATGATGAAGAGAAACCTCAGTCCTCACAGCTTCATCAAAGACTCACTGAACAGATAAAAACAGAATCTGATGGAGAGGACTGTGGAGGACTAGAACCAGCGATGAAATCAGAGCCAGATAAACATTTACAACCAGATACTGAGGATGAGACATCAAAATCTGATTCTGAGACTGATGTCAGTTGTGATTGGAAGGAGACCAGAGAAGCTCAGTCTGTTTCAAACCCTCTACAAAACAATGAAGTACCTGTAAGTGATGTGGAATGTTATACTGGAGAAACATCAAGTAGCTCTTTTGAATGCCTTACAAACTTAGGCCGAAAGCAACATTTACAGGAACAGACTGGAATCCAACCAGGAGAGAAACCATTTAGTTGCTCATTTTGTGGTAAAGGATACTTTGGGAAGAAATCCTTAATGTCTCATATGAGACTTCATTCAGAAGGACAATGTTTCAGCTGCCCAGTTTGTAAAAAAACTTTTCAACAGAAACGAGATGTTGTGAGGCACATGAGAGTCCACACAGGAGAGAAACCTTTCAGTTGTTCTGTCTGTGGTAAAAGATTCACACGAAGTTCAAGTTTGACTTCACACTTAAGGCTTCATACAGGAGAAAAACCTTTCAGCTGCTCAGTTTGTAAAAAAACTTTTCAACAGAGAGGAGATGTGGTGAAGCACATGAGAGTCCACACTGGGGAGAGACCCTTCAGTTGTTCTGTCTGTGGTAAAGGATTTGCACAAAGCTCAAGTTTGACCTCACACTTGAGGGTTCATACAGGAGAAAAACCTTTCAGCTGCTCAGTTTGTAAAAAATGTTTTCAAGGGAGAGGAGGTGTTGTGAAGCACATGAGAATCCACACAGGTGAGAAACAATTCAGTTGTTCTGTCTGTAGTAAAAGTTTCACACACAGCTCGAATTTGACCCGACACTTAAGAGTTCATAAAGGAGAAAGCCTTTCACATGATCAGTTTGTTAAACAAGTTTCAAAAACAGATGACATTTTTCCCAAAACATGAGAATGTATACTGTAAGTAAGTAAACTTTATTTGTAAAATACTTTTCACAGACACGAGTCGCAGAATGCTTAACAGAAAACGTTAGCGTACAAGAAGTCTGTGAAGATTCTCGGTCATCCAGGTCATAGTTATCCAAAGAAGGTTGAAGTCAAAGGCAACTGGACTTGTTTGAAGATACTAGAAGATGTTACAGAGCCGAAAGGAACGAAAGGTCTTCTAGTATCTTCAGTCAGGTCCAGTTGCCTTTGACTTCAACTTTCTTTGGATAAAAATACGAGAAGGAAAAACTAGATAAAATGAACCCCCCAAGCAATGTGAAGGGAAGTGAGCTAAAAATACATGATTTTGCAATACTCAAACACAGTATGTGGTGAAAGTACACAGTAAATAAATATTATGTAATAAAATACACAAATAAATCCATTAGATGTAGACCTGGGGCATACCAGTTAACCAAACGAAAAGAATTTACTAGGGAGAAATGCTTTAGTAGTTCAGTCTGTGGTAAACGATTCACTGGCTTCATATTTTTAAAGAGAGAGAACAGTAGAAGTAAATGAAGCCATAAAGCTACTCGTTGAGCCGATTCCTTCCAGCAGGATTAA